AAAAAGTTATCAAGCTCTTAAAAAATCACCCGTTATTAACCTCGATGCAATGATTTCAGTATAGATTTTCCTACCATAACTTTTCCATATGTTTGACAGATCTTTGTTGTGTTATCTCTCATCGAGCTGGTGGAAGCCTTCGAACAGCTAATTAATTTTATGAAACGCTTTTTAAGGAATGGGGTTTTTATGGTGATAATGGTATTATTTGCTAGTTGAAGTTTACTGTTTAATTGGAGAGATAGGGCTAGAAGTGATGAGGTGTTTAAGGATGTTTTAGAGATTAAGTTTTGTACACGGTATTCTTACAAAATCCTCTAACTGTGTAAACTTCAGAAATTATATAAGTAAATAGTTCCACCATATCATGAATTTTTCCACTTTATGTATAAAGTTACCGACATACTACTGATTGTAACTATTTTGACTACTGTGGAGTGAACCTTCATTGAGCTTTAACTCAAAAGCTTCTCTCCATTCCAGCCTAAGTATATGAAAGTAAAATTTTCACTTTATGCCTCTTGTGATAATAACTTGTTCACAGATATGGTTGTCATTTTATTGCGCTGTTCATAAAGATATATTTACATATAATCAAAGCCGATGCGCCATACTGTTCTCTTCGATTTGTTGGCGAGTAGTACATAAACTATGTCAGCTGTTCAAATAAAACTGACAGCACTGACGTTGTCTGTATTATAGTATCCTCTGACACAAGCAGAATTTGATGGAGAAATATTATTTTTTCGAAAAAAAAACAAGAAAAAACATAAACTTCGGTTGCAACGAAGCTAATATACCCTTCACAGGTGCGTTTATTTTAGTAACTATGCGTTCAGCTTATATGGAAGCTATATACTATAGTAATCCGATCTGAACAATTTTTTCGGATATTATATTATAACTTTAAGCAGTAATCCATGTCAAATTTCGTGAAGATAGCACGTCAAATGCAAAAGTTTTCCATACAAGAACTTGGTTGCGATCGTTCGGTTTGCATGGCAGCTATATGCTATAGTTAACCGATATCGGCAGTTCCGACAAATAAGCAGCTTCTTGAAGAGAAAATGACATATGCAGACGGACAGGGCTAAATCGACTCAGCTCAACGAACTGATCATTTATATATATACCTTATAGGGTCTCCGACGCTTCCTTCTGGGTGTTACAAACTTCGCGACAAACTTAATATACCCTGTTCAGGTTATAATAAAATGAACAAAAATATCTACCATATATTGCATTCCAAAGAGAGCCGAAATATATAATTGTCATATAACTAATAATTTGCGTATTCAATGTTTTAAGTATTTATTGTTAATTGAATGCGCATGTACAGGTGTAAAAATTATAATATGTATTTGTATATTCGAACGAACTAGTTGGTTGCTTAGAAGGTCATTTCTGTCGTCTTCGCGATCTTGACTTTTGTCGACATGTTGGTGACTTCAAATGTGGATAAACCAGAAAACGTATTAGGCGATAGTATTCATTCATAAAAAAAAAGAGATTTATTATTTGTAGATGCGTGCATATGTGATTTATACAATATTTAAAGACATTTGGCTTGAATCATTGCGTTTTCGAGAAATTATGTGAAATCAAATAAACAAAGGTTTTGGTAAAAAATCTTGTATGTACCTACTTATTTTCTGAACGTGTGGCCAGTTTTATGTAATTCTTTTGTTTATTATCAACTTTTTAAACGTTTTCCAATGGAATCATGGGAAGCGTACATACTAAGCATACTGTATAGACCAAAGACGGCTATCTCTTTCAAGTGGATGAAATCTTTAGTTTATTTAGCAAGAATGGTTGGATCGATAGATGATAACCACACTTCCTCTAGTAGGGAGCGTGGTTAATTTGATAAGAAGACAAGTTGCTAGATCTCTCTGGTTCAGCGGTTTATAAATGGAGTTAACGAGGAATTGTGAAGAATAAGTCAGTGATTAAGCAGAATTATTGCTATTGTTGAAACTGAGCCCCCACAACAAATTTTAACTTTGATATTTTCGAACAGTAAGAAGCAAGACGAAATATCTTTTGTCATCAAACAGTTGTCGCACCTGACAGTCATAAATGAGTAGGCAATTTAGAAGTAAAGTTCTCTCTTGAGGAACAGAGGCCAAATTATACAACTCCCCCACCATTTCAGAGATCATTCGCAGTAGCATGGATGATGGCAACATCTGATAAGTAGGCGTTACGACTTTTTGAGTTTGGCAATGGCGAATACCGCATTCAAGAGAACGATGAGATGATAATAACATAGTTGACATAGCTCAGCGAATTAAAAGTTATCGGTCACTCTAGCTAGGTTATGTCTACGCCATTAAAGAAGAAGAATTTCAGGATAAGACGAGTGCGATGTGCAGAGAGGGCATCAATTCATCATAGGTAATGCACTGCATGTCTGTTACAAGACATTTTATTAGCAAGTGCAATTAAAGACGTTATTAATTGATTTCTTGTGATAGCAGATGTCTTCAAGCTTGTACTCTTTAAAGTAACAAATCATCAAAAGAATTACCAAGAACGGTTATTTATTACGACATCATTAGATGATTTTTTAAATCTGCGTATCACGGCAGTAGGATGGTTGAACCCGCCTCGCTTACCTCGATGTTACGTGTTTGCTTTGCACATAAGTGTCTATTTACAGTGGAATACAGTGAAAATGCAACTTAGACTAAAAGTAACTTTATATTAAG